TCAGCAGGAAAAATGCAGGTATCTTAGCCCATTTGATGATTTCAGAATGCAGGCCAATTGGGGCCATGCAACAGGTTCGACTTCAGGATCTGAAGAGAGTCACATGTTTGGGCCGCCTGACAGTCCAACTCGAGTTACTCCAGAGAATAAAGGAAGCCCAGTCAGTCGACCCCGCCCTGATAGCTCGCAGGAAGGATGCAGAACAGGGAGTGAGCTCAGAATTCCGAATCTCTACCGATGGATTACTTCGTTTCCAAGACAGGGTGTGTGTCCCAGATGACAGTGAGTTAAAAAGAGACATCATGACGGAGTCCCATAGCTCGAAGTTTGCCATTCATCTAGGAAGCACCAAAATGTACCAAAGCATGCGACCCCGGTTTTGGTGGAATGGGATGAAGAGAGACATAGCCGACTTTGTATCTAAATGCTTGGTATATCAGCAGGTCAAGGCAGAACATCAGCGCTCAAGTGGGTTACTTTAGCCTTTACCGATCCCGGAGTGGAAGTGGGAACATATCAGCATGGACTTCGTATCGGGGCTACCCAAGGCACGTTCAGGACATGATGTCATATGAGTAATTGTTGACCGACTTACCAAGTCTTCCCACTTCTTAGCCATCAGGATGACCGATCCCTTGGACAAGTTGGCAAAGATGTATATCCGGGAGATAGTCAGATTGCATGGAGTTCCAGTAACAGTAGTATCCGACAGGGATCCCAGGTTCACTTTTGGGTTTTGGAGTAGCTTTCAGCAAGCTATGGGAACAAAGCTGTCTCTTAGTACTGTCTTCCATCCCCAGACTGATGGACAATCAGAAAGGACAATTCGTACACTTGAGGATATGCTCTGAGCTTGTGTCCTTGACTCTGGGCCATTGGGACGACCATATACCCCTGATAGAGTTTGTCTACAACAACAGCTACCAAGCAAGCATCGGCATGGCTCCATATGAGGCATTATATGGGCGCCCGTGCAGATAACCGATTTGTTGGAAAGAAGTGGGCGATAAAAGATTATTCGTCCCGGAGTTGGTAGAGGAGACCACGTCCAAAATAGTTAAAATCAGAAAGAACATTCAGACAGCTCATAGTAGGCAGAAGAGTTATGCAGATACCCGGAGGAGAGACCTAGCGTTTGAGAAAGGCGACCGAGTGTTTCTTAAGGTCACTCATTTCAAGGAAATTAGTAGGTTCGGCAGGAGAAAAAAATTAAACCCCCGATTTATTGTACCTTTTGAAATCTTAGACATGATTGGTACTGCTGCCTACAGACTAGCACTGCCTCCAGAGCTCTCCAGAGTCCACAATGTGTTCTACGTATCCATGCTACGTAAGTACAATCCGGACCCCTCTCATGTCTTGGCTCATGAACCGCTTCCACTCCAAGAGTACTTGTCTTATGAAGAAGTACCAGTCGGTATCACGGACCGAAAGAGCAGGATACTCCGCAACCGGAAAATATCATTTGTAAAAGTCGTGTGGCAGAACCACACGCTCAAGGAGGCTACCTGGGAGCCAGAATCAAATTTTAGAGCCCAGTATCCCCATTTGTTCAACCAAGAGTAAGAGACAAATTTGGGGGACCAAATTTCTATAAGGGGGGAGAGTTGTAACACTCAAATTATTATTTTTATTTTTGTATTTGAATTTTAGTTTAATTTTTTATATATTTAATTTATAAGATTTTAATTCAACTTAATTTAATTTAATTTAATTTAATGAAAATAAAAATAATAATAATGATAAAATAGGGTAAAATTATTTTTTGGACTTAATTGAAATTGATTTAGGGAAAAAGGAGTGAAAATTTAGATTCTGGGGGTGTTTTTAAAAAGAAAATCAGAAACTGGGGGTCAAAACGCAATTTGAAAAAGTTGTGCCACGTTAGCAGCCACGTCAGCAGCCCCGGCCAACCAGGACACGCCGCGTGGCAAGGAACGCTGACACAGGACGGGCCACGTGGGCGATCCGCGTGCGCGCGATCGAACAGCTTAGATCCATTCCCGCGCGCACAGACGGCCCAGATCAAATTAACGAACGGACAGCCCAGATTTCACGCGTACGGACGGTCCATATTAAAACTTGATGGACGGTTGAGATTAAAAGGGGAAGGGTATAAGTAACCCCACCCACACCCGACCACAAAACCCTAGCTGCCAGTGCCTCGCCGGAGAAGAAGAACCAGACGCTGGAGGAGCCTGCCGCCGCCACCCGCCGCCGCACCGGAGAATTTTCTGACCGCTAATCGAGGTAAATTTTCTCTCCCTGGCTCGTTTTTCGATGTTGAATCCTCCTATGGCTAAACCAGAACCAAACCACTGGCCAATCGACCGAAAAACTCCGCCGAAGTCCAGCGACATCGCCGCAACTTCCCTTTGTTTTTGCCTCTGATGAGGCCCTTCCCGATCTCTGTTCGATGCAATTTTTATACCACTGTGATCACTGCTCTTTTCTCTACAGGTTGACCAGAGCAAAACATCAAAACGCGACTCATGCCGGAGAAGCCGCCGCACCCGAGAGAACCGCCGCCGGTAAGTCTCGATTTTTCGTGATTTTTTGGCCCACCGAGGGCCCTAGGGTTGTTTTATTGCAGGGACCAATGCAAGTTTGGCCGAATTCGACCGAAAACGGCCAACCCGAGGTGGATCGCCGCTGCAGGTGTTGGCGCCGTCGTCGAAGCACGGCAGAGTCGCCGTGCCAGAATTTTGATATTGGCCAAAAGGGGCCCTAGGTCTGATTTGGGATTTTTTTGGGGACACATGTAGGTACCGGTAGTGTGTTTCAGTTTTCTAAAAAAAAATTCAGGGAATTTAAGGACAGCTCGTAGGCGCACCGTAGAGCCGATTTCAGACCCCGAAACAAGTAAGGATTTCTCACTCTATTTCCTATCAAGTTATTAAAGCTTAATAAATAATTAAATGGTATTCTGTGACTTTATAGATATGTATAATTGATTGAGGTTGCCAATGGAGCCCGAATCTGATACATTATTGGTCAGTTGTTATTTGATCTATTTTTCAGTATTAAATGCAGTATGATATTTGATATATTTATTTTATGGTCTCGTATGCATGAATCATTGTTTCTTTTATTATGGTTTGTATTACGGTGAACCCGATACTGTGTTGTCTTGTTTGGTGTCAATTACTGGTTTACATGTTTGTGTATGATTGAATGATTGAGATCAAGAAAAATGGCAAAAAAGTTATGTGAATTGATAAATGGATAATGTGGACAGCCTGACTAGATATCCTGGGAGATGGTGGACGGACCGGGTCCGTAGGAAACCCTACCGTGAACGTGGTCTCTCATACCGGACGGAGTATGGAGACCTTATGTGTTTTGGCGCCCATACCGGACAGGGTATGGGGACGACCCATTTCACCCTCATACCGGACTGGGTATTGAGGTTTATGGTTTTGGCGCCCATACCGAACGGGGTATGGGGACGACCCTGGAATCAGGTTATTAATGCTAATAGTTCACGTGTAGCGGAGACCCTCTATGGTTCCCCATGGATACTAGTAGGCTGGTAAAAGAGGAAATTTATTATCTAATTATTGAAGTGCAAGAGTATGACATGTGTTTTGTTACAAAGTCGATATGATTTTATGATGGTTATAATGTTATTGTTTTCATATGTTATTTTCATGAATCTCATCGAGGTAAGTGGACAGTAAAGGTTTTTATGTTAATAAATGAGTTTATTATAAATTATGCTCCATTGGTTGTTTTTGTTTTCTACCGACCTTTACTTCTGTGGCAGTGAGATAGTGTGATGTCTTTACTAGGCTAGTGTAGCTCATTCCTTACTTAACCATTTCAGATCAAGAAGACGTGGTTCCCGAGCCCGTTCCGCAAGAAGACGACGAGGTAGACGCCTAAAGACTTTATAGTTCTATTTATAGTTTTTATTTTGAGTATCTTTTTTAATTAGCTTATTCTTTTATATGTTGAATACGTTTTTGGTTATTGTGTAAGGGATGTTAATCAAAATTTTTATTACGCTTCCGTATTTAAGATTTTTAATACATACATGTTCATTTAAATTCCGGGGTCGTTACATTAATGATGTTAATCAAACAACTAAATTCTTTAGTGCTATAATATTATTCAAATGGCTCTAAAAGCTTTAAAAAGTTGTATCAGAAACGACTGAATATGGACCTTCAGAGTTACTAAAGTATTGGTTGGAGGGCACTAACTCTAGATTAGATCAAGATAAATACTGGCAAATTAGTTAAAACTTTGGATGGGCATGCATATGTAGGATTACCTTTTGAGAGAAGCAATGGTAATTGAATCGTTGGTTTTGTGACCAATATGGACTATGGTAATCTTTGGCAAGCTAAGATCAAGGGTGCCTTGAAAGTTTCCACATTGCATGGGATTGTAGTTATCACAATGTCGAAGTTGATTCCTTGCAACTCAAGCATATCTTGAAGAACTTTTTCACTTTAAGTATTACGATTTGAGAATCGATTAGACTTCCTTAGTCTTATGAGGAAAGATTTAAATGTCAGAGTTTCTCATATCTATCGAGAATAATATTTATCGTATCGTCTTACTTTTCTAGTTTGTTGGGTCCCGAGCGGTACTTATTAGACTGCCCCATGGCCTTGGGGAGTTGGTACAACATCTAAACTAAGATAAGCAGCAAAGCCTAGGCTTGCTTAATGAAAAATTAGGTTTTGCCTCTTTTTTGTTTTTGTTTACCTTTTCCTAGCAAATAAAAGAAAAAATGAATTATTTGTATTAGAAAGAAGGAAAATTCACGTAAGGAGAAAAGACCTCATGTCAAGAAATGAATGTCTAATAAGATCTACACGTATTAATCTGGAAGCATTTGCCTAAACCAATTAAATTTTATTTTATATTTAGATAATTTATATAAATAACAATTATACATTTTATTACAGTACATAAAAAAATTAGTTAAAAATTAAGAAATTGACAGTTACATATAAGAATAATAATAATAGATTGGGTAGCTTACCTTCTCTTTTTCCTCTTTTTCCTCGCTCCTCTCCTGTATCTCTCCCGCACGCACCCCAGACTCAACTCAACCCACCTGCGGCACGGTGAACCGTTCGGTTGCGGCCACCTGCAACGCCTTGTGATCATCACATCTGCTGCACTGTTGGATGCAACAGCGTTGCTACATTCTTGAGCAATTTTCAAGCAAAGGTGAGATACCACCTAGGTAGGAAGGTTCTATAAAATGCAGAAGGAAGTGAGATCAGAGAGATAACATAGGGGAATTTTGTGCATGTGGAACTTGATGATACAGGCAGTGGGAACCTGCCCGGCAGTAGTGCGAGCGAGATGGGGTTAATGGTGGTTTGGATCCAAAATTCTGTCGTAAGATGCGGTTAATAGAATCTGCTCTGCTTTACTGTGAAGTGGATTACGAAGAAGAGATGCTTATCTTTCGGATTTTACTCTAGGAAAGACAGGAGGAGAGGAGAGGAGAAGAGAAGAGAGGAAAGAGACATTTCCTTTAACATTGATTTCCTTACATCAATTTTTTGTTAAACATATATATATATTTCTTCTATACAGGTTTTACCGCAGGTAGAGGAAATGGATTCATCAACCATGCTATTTAACCAACTTAAGGTTTGAACAACTTATTTAATTTCATTTTAACATAAGGTGTTATGCATCAGATTTTTAATGTGCTTTGATTTGAAATGGTATTCATCTCTAAACTACAGGCAGCTGAACCATTTTTCTTGTTAGCGGGTCCTAATGTAATTGAATCTGAAGAACACATTCTGCAGATGGCAAAGCACATAAAGCACATTACAACCAAGTAGGTCCTACATATTTGACAATTGCTTCCTTTGTTTTTATGAGAAGTTCAATGTTGAATAGGGAAAGTGTATTTGATGTAACATTGTGGTAATTGAAGAAAGTGGTCTTCCTTGGGGTAAACAAAAAGTAAAAAAGAGGAAGAAATCTGGTTGAAACAGGTTCATCTAGAAGATATTTGAAGTCGATCCATGTCTGTTTAGGGATCACATTTTCTGTGAATGTGCTTTTGAAGTTTTTTATATTCTTGTGGGACAGATTCAGAGGGCTTCAATTTCATCACTGTATAAATAGTGGAAAGTGTTTGTAAGCATAGAGTTCTTATTCCAGTTCTCCAGATTGAAAGTGGGTCTAGTTGCCTTCTTTAAAAAAATTAAAAATTAAAAATCCACTAGTATATCTCTAAATGTAGAGGTTTTGTTTCCTCTTATTTCAGGCTCGGATTACCTCTAGTTTTCAAGTCAAGTTTTGATAAAGCTAATCGTACATCCTCGAAATCATTTCGAGGTCCAGGCATGATTGAGGGCTTGAAGGTATGAATTTGTTGTTTATGTTTGCTTTGATCCTTTCAGATTTATATTTGTGTGCTAAGCTTATATCTTGTTGGGGATATGTTAGAAAATAAATAGAGTAAATTGCAGTTTTATTATCTTGTGGTCTGTTGTTTTTCAGATTCAATATATTTGGTTTATTATTATTTAAGTACTTGTGGTTTGGTCGTTTGTTTCACAATATAGTTTGTTGGTTTGGAAACATGTAAGGTTTAGTATTAAAAAGTCCAACATATGGCTGATTCAGATCAAACTTTCTATAACTAAAAAAAACTAACATTTAAAAGACTTAAAAATTCAAAAACTATGATAAAATAAAAATAAAAATAAAAATTAAAAAATTAAAGAAAAAATTCAGATTGGAGAAGTTTTGGGAGCTTTGTGTATATTAAAACTAATAAAACTTTTAGATTTTTTATTCTTGTTTTTGAAAAGTTTAATATGAGCCATTCATGTCTCAGACTTTTACGATCCAAACTGTTAATGCCTTCAAACTAACAGTTTTATGTTACCTGATTAACGCTTAACCTCTAGTACTAAAACTATTAACAAGGAACTACATGTATTGAATCTGATATACCCCAAACCGTAGAGTATCAAACTGTACTTTACCCAAATAATAAATAATAAACTTGAAAATCTGTTTATGAATTTAAGCTTTTTAGGTAATTGATTTACCCTACCAAATTATTTCTTACTTGGATATACCTTCTTTACTTGTATGCATTTGATTTTGACATACAATGTAGAAGAGGAAGATAAATATTGAATTTTCTTCCTGAACTACAAAGTTCAAAAGGAGTGAAGAAATGTTAAAAAAATTGAAGAGATGTTAAAAGGAAAAGGAAATAGCTTCTATAATTGTGATTCATTAATTTCTTCAATATAGATTTGGGTCAAATTTTTTCTAGCATTGCAGTGCATAATCTATTAATTTTTTGGTTCATCTTGGGTTTGTTGCCAATAAATCTGTCTTAGTAATTATCTATTTTACATCTTTTTTCTTTAATTTTTTCTAGGAAATGCAAAAATAAGAATTTATTTAATGCTATTTTTTGAGCAAATCTTGAAAACTTGTTAAATTCATTTGCAGATCCGTACTTAATTCATCCTGAGTACGATCTAAATTCTATTAGAAGATAGTAAAAATTGATCTTATATATAGAATTTCATGTGGAACTGAAATAATGCGCTTCAAATTCTATCAAAATTGGTAGTACTCGGATTGCATTTTTTGGTTCCACATGAAATTTCGTATGATATTAATTTTTATCATTTTAGGAAGAATTTTCACTGTCTTCTAGTTGAATAGATGCAGATTGGAAGCAGAAGGTTTCCAGATTATTCAAAATAGCCTGTATGTTTGCAGGTCAACAGAAGATATATAAACATCTTTCTTTGCCAACTTATGCTTTTAACTGTTCTGCTACAACAAGTTCTAGTAGGACTTGAATTCTTCTGGTGGTTAGATAAATAAATCCTTGGGAAAGTTTGTTTAGTTTCTAAATAAAAGTGAAATTATCACAGTCATGTTTATCTGTTGCAGATTCTTGAGAAGGTAAAAGTAGCATATGATATACCCATCATAACAGATGTGCATGAAACAATTCAGGTGTGAGGTGTCTTCTGATTCTCCTCCAAAACTTATTCATTCTTATACTCTCTTCTGTTATCAATGACTTTGTTGTTTATTTTATTTATAAGTAACTTCAGATAAGAGCTTGTCAATGATGCTTCCCTTGTTTGACAGTTTCCGATATCCCCAAGAGAAATGGAAATTTGATCAATTTGACCAGTTATATAATGAAACACTTCTGTGACTATAATAGATTTCATCGCACAAATGCTATAAATAAAATAAGAAGGTAAGGTATGTAGTAATAAAATAAAATAAGACATTTGGTTGTAATAGGAATTTGACCGTCCTTGCAGCATTAGGAAATCAGTATCAATGTTTTGTTTTGTTTTTGTTTTTGTTTTCATTTCTTTTGCCCCTAAAAATATATAACTAGGTCATCAAAATAGAGATCAGAGGAGAATTTTTCAAACAGAGGTTTTACAGTACCGAACTCTATAGATCAAAGGCTTCTCTTCAGTGTCTAACCATTGACTGTGAAGGCTGAAAATCAAATAAGCAAGATTCCAGCTTGCTGCAGGATTTGGCAGTAAGTCGGCTGGTGATTAGATCACAAGCCTGGGACCCTATCAAAAGGTTGCGTTTTAGAGAGTCCCTTTTTTTGCTAGTTTATTGGGGCTATTGTTGAAGAGAAATATTACTCTTCGCACAGAAATTTTTTTTACTCTGTTGTCTTCTTCAGGACAAGATGACTTTCTAGCTTTTACAGTAAGTTAAGGAGCATGGATACTTTAGCAATATCTCTTCAGTTATTCTGCAAAGAGTTTCCAGTAGTTTATTGGTTTTAATTTTTTTTCCTCTTTATTTGTTTATGAAGTTTTTGGAGAAAATAAATTTATGAATTTTTTATTCCTTATTTTGTTTACATTTATAAGATATATATAGAGTAGTTATTCTTATTCTATTTGAACTCTAATTATAAGATATAATTATATTATTAGAACTCTAAATAATATAATATTCTATTTAACATAAAATCCTTATCAGCACTCCCCCTCAAGTTGGCGCAAAAATATCACACATGCTCAACTTGCAAATCAGGTTTGGAAGAGGTTTGTTGCATAGTGCTTTAGTGAAAATGTCAGCCACTTGATCGCCAGATATAAGCATAGAGAGCCACCAACCACCTTCTCTTTATGAAGTGTCGATCAATTTCAATATGTTTTGTCCTATCATGTTGAACTGGATTATGAATAATGTTAATTGCTATTTTATTGTCACAAAACATGGATAGTTCTCATTTTAA